AGTTTAGATCCCCTTATGCCTTATGAGGATAAAAATTTTCGTGGCTCTTTAGTTTTGGATTTTGGAATTTGATGACGTCACGTGAAAACGATCTATAAGAGTACAGAATGTTAAAATTTTAATTCATGCAAGCTTTCAAGTTTAACTTTCAACTGTCTAACTTTCAAATTTTTAACCAATGAGATTTAATGGACTTTTTTAAGTAGCCAATCAAAAAGCGAGAAAAGCTATTGACAATGTTCGCGTCATTTTGAATACAATTTACTTGTTTACGGCAAGGTTACGACGTCTTTTCCCCACATTTATTCCCGACATTTGACCATTTTGGGGTCTTGTTATTGTAAAAAACGAATTGACGTCAGTTTTTTAAGCGTCTGTCCTCTTACTGATGATAAATTTCGTCATAACATTGTCAAAGTTTACTGCGGAACCAATCGCCTGCGGCTCGTGGTTCCACAACCACTTTGACAATGTTATGACGCAATTTATCATCAATAAGAGCACAGACGCATAAAAAACTGACGTCAATTTGTTAAATTTGTTTTTGTGATCCTTGCGCGCGCGCTGAATCGCATTAGCAAGAGCGCGCGCGAAAACTGTGTTCGGCCACCCAAGAGTGGTCACCAGTGCCCAGGGGCCCGTTTCTCGAAGGTCCCGAAAAGTTTTCGCACCCGAAAAGCTGTAGCAAAATCTCAAACCTTAAGACTACAAAGCTGATTTATGCACATATTCTTAATGTGAACAGAGGTTCACTTCATACAAGACGTTTTAAGCGTATACAACTTTCTGTCTTTAAATACCGATTAACTAAAGTAGCTTTGCGGGCCCCAAAAGTTTCCGGGACTTTCGAGAAACGTACCCCAGGCCAGAGAGAGACTAGTCACGCAGCGGTGCACTGTGGGTAGTCTGTGTTATCATGGCGGATTAAGTAGCTGTGCGGGTGGGAATTGAAGCGAAGTGTAAATGTTTTGGTTTTTCTGCAAAAACAATAGAAAGTTATTACACGCTATATTATATGAAAATGGCCACTTAGAAAGACAAGGCTGAATGAAATAAGGGCGGATGTTCAATAAGAAAGGTTGTTGGTTGTGCTGCGGTAAACACAAGAGCAATAGATCATCGAGCGGATTTGTAGAGCTTTTCCCGGGAGAGTTCAAGCTAAGATGGCGTCCGCTGCAGAGAATAACGAGACGAGGGAAGAGGACGAAGAGAAAATGGATAAGAGCGGTGAAACTACCGCGACTTTAAAAGAAGGTTTGTGTCTCAAACGTTATTATGGACATCCAGGTTAAGCTTATTAGCTTAACTTACTCATTCACAATAGCTTTTACCACTTTGGTTTGACTTTTAATCCGTTTATTTAGTAAATTACGACGTTAATTTGCTGCTTTTTTTTCCAGTGTTGAAAAAATCTTCGTCTGACTCGAAAATCAAGAAACTACGAAGGAAAATTTCTCAAGGACTGAGATTGTGTGAGTAAGCTTAGTCCTTACGTCAGCTGATTTATGCTGAAGAACTGAGCAGTCGAATTAATGCAGATAAGGTGTTGAGAGTAACTGAAATGAGTCTAATAAAATAGTTGCTTTCTTTATCATGTATTGATATAATACGTGGATTACAGGAGAGAACGATTAGAGGTAATTCTTTTTACGTTCAGGGCAATTTCATTATTCAAGTGCCAATTTGACTGTGTTTTTTTGGCTAATTTTGTGGCTATGTTCAAACATGGCTCAAGATTCACTATTCAAGGTTAAACTGATTTTTTTTCTTTAAGAGAAATACATGATTATACATCGGTTACTTTTGTCATGCTGATGTCTTTCCATGATTGACATACAGTCAACAGTACTGAAAGTGGCCGTGTCTGAAGATCATGTGTACTAAAGGCATCTGCAGTCGAGTGTCAATCGATACCCTCGATTGATACCCTTGATCGACTCTTGATCGACTCTGTATCGACATCTATGTTGACACTCAATCGACACTCCATTGACATCTCGGTTGACAGTCAGTCGAGAGTCAACTAATTTTCGATCGATTTACATGCGTTGGCCAACACTCGGCTGACTATCGACTGACTGTTGATTAAGTGTCGATAGAGTGTTGACCGAGTATGGATTGGCATGTTGATCGAGAGTACAGATCGCGAGTATCGATTGACACTTGACTGCTGCCTTTACTGCTCATGATCGGTGTCTCTCACACAAAGGCTGCTTGGTTATCTTGCAAATACAAGATCACCAATTCCTGAATTTAAATAAGAATGAAAAACATAAAACGTGGAATCACCTAAAACCACTTACAACCATCTAGCTACAACCATTTACAACCACCCACAATCCACTTAGAATTTTGTTTTGCGCTTCTGATCACCTGTGTACACAGCGGAAGTGGGTGTCTCGTTTCATGTAAGCAAAATAAATACTTGGCAAGAGCGGTCCAGTATATGTATCTTAGTTATCTTACTTACAGTGCAAAGAACTACAAATTGATAGGTATACTACCAGAATATAGTGATAGTTGCCTTGTTTTGAAGCACGACAGGGTTACTTTCGCGATATCCCTAATTTTTGAATGGGCTCATGTCGCAGACAATGACTTATGTTTCAAGGGTACTAATTTCGCTTTTGATAGGAACCCGTGAAACAAAAGACAACGTTTCTGGTGTGTAGTTATTGAAGTTGCTCACGGTGTGAGCAAAAATTTGTCCACAAAATTGTCACTAAAATGCCTTAAAATTATAAAAATAGTATTCTGAAGGTGGTTGTATTTAGTTTTTGGTGGTTGTAGGTCATTCCATGTTTTAGTATTTACTATTCTTTAACTTCCTCGCAGCCTACTGATGGGCTCTCATAATTTTTTCTTAGGTTTCTTTGTTGTTTGCTTGTAGATGTACTTGGAGGGTTGTACAGGGGGGCCTCTGGCACGGTTCATGAACAGAAAAAATAGAGGATCACAGATCACGGATATAAAAATTTGTTTTCTCGAATCACAAAAATAAGCAAGTAAGATACTCTTTTCAATAACCTGTTCTTACACTAGAAAGAGTGTTTGAAGAAAGAAAAATCGTAAAAGGCTAAGTCAAGGCTCCATATTGCAAATGGCATGTCTAAGTCACTCTCGATAGACGACTCTAACCTTTCAGAGAACTTGCATCTCAAAATCACGGAGAATAGAGTGGTGAAATTATGAATATCAGTTAATATTCAAGTTCTTCATTGGTCACGCAAAACCTTCAGGTTACGGATCACGAAGAATAATTTCCTAAATTCACACTTCACGGAAAATAAAATCAGCTAATCACGCATCACGAGAATACCCCTGTACGACCCCTCCACTTAGGGAGAAACTGCTGGATACCCTACTGCTTGAACAGTATTCCATAAACAATATTTTGCAAAGCTGTTGCATACAAATTAGGGTAATTCTGAAGAACAGCTCCCAAAACAACCTGTTGGCC